GACGGACGGCTGGATGAGTAAGCGATTTGTTGTGGGGTGCATGATCGACCAGGACAACGGCGTTGACTCTCTGCACCTATATGATTAGCATCAGCACCACTGTACAAATGCTTTTATTCGCTGTCTTCCTGGTGCATTAGCATTGCCTGCACTACAGTTTTTTAAAGACACAATTCTGTTCGAGCAGGGAAAGTCGCGACGGAGGGAAGCAGATATTTGGGTTTCCTGGTTCACTTCGTCGCCAATTCTTCCCATCCGCTTCCGATTTCCTAGCCCAAACTTCCTATTACTGTAGGATAATTACTACATTCTGCCGAGAAAAAAGCCTTATACAACTGCCACATACGGGAATACCTGATGTTTGGTAGGGGGAAAACTGGAAATGAAGTTCATATTTTTGAATGTTTACAGCTAAGAGACAAGACAAGGAGCGTCTCAGGAATAAGATGGGAACTAAGGAATGAAGCACAGATTGCTTCACGGTTTATTCACCAGCGCATGCCTTACTTGAATCCAGTTTCTTGATTTTTTCATTATTAAGAATGAGTGCTTTCCGCGCTGGCACGAACGTTCTTCACTCAGTTCAAGGACATATTTTGTCGCTAATAAAAGTTCACGAAATGATAAAAAAATCGGAAATTAGTATTTGTTTGTGCAATAGTTAATTTGATTAGCCTAATTTCACCTCCCAATTTTATTGCCATTCTAAAAGAAATGCCTTCGGGGAATATTTTTTTGTCCATTGCTTTCTAGTTTTGTTCCTTTGAATAAGAGGTTACATACACCTTTCTCCGCTATTCTTTTTCCTTCTCGTCGCTGGATTTACAAAACAATCGAAAATTTCGTAAAAACACAATTAACGCGGCATAATTGTTGATAGGTCCTTTACAGCAGCATAAGCATACATAGTTATCGCTTATATCACATAGGAGTTAGGCCGATTATCAGCGGCGATGATCTTTGTTGGTGATTCACATGAGCAGCTTTTAGCTCCATAAGAAATGTGAGGATTAAAAATATGCGTATGTAGTGATGTTTAAACAATATTAAGGAAAAACATTTTATTCCGTACTGTATATCTTCATTAGCTGATTT